TTGCTCATTGTGTGTGTGTCAGTTGCTCATTGTGTATGTGTCAGTTGCTCAGTGTGTGTGTTTCCATGTTTAGTTGCTGACCCAGCTGTTCCTTCAGCAACAGTTCAGCCTGCAGGGACTTCCAGCTCTTTTCTTCACGTCTCTTTTTACTATCTGAGAACATATTTTTGCAGAAGTTCATTAACGAGCTGTGACTTCAGCACTTGTTGTGATCCTGCCTCCAGTGATTGTTGGGGTCTACAGCCTGTTAAAGCTGGGGGGGTCAGACCCCAAACTGGCCCCTCAAAGATCCGTTTGACAATGTTGATCCCTGTTACTCTCCATCCTGTTGTAAAAGTGTTAACACGTCACCATCTGACTAACCTGCGTCTCTTCCTGTCTCCTGGCAAGATCACAAAGCTGAAGATTGACAGGAACCCCTTCGCAAAGGGCTTCAGAGATCCAGGCAGAAACAGGTACGGCAGACCTCACCAGATCCCAAACAAAAGGCCCACAAGGGACTTTACGCTGACTCGGCTGAACCAGTGAAACATGAAACCCTCAAATAAATCTGTTCCACACCTCAGAACCAAAACCCTGCATTTTGTATTTTAGATTGTTTTTACTGTGTGTGTGTGTGTGTGTGTGTGTGTGTGTGTGTGTGTGTGTGTGTAGGGGTGTACTGGATGGCCTGCTGGACTCGTATCCCTGGAAAAGCCCTCTCTCCTTGGACTTTAAGCCGTTCACCATCCAGCTCCAAGGTACTGAGCTTTCATTTAACCATCTTCTTTTGCTCTACTCAAGTCTGACTCTTTAATACGTTTTGTCTCTGAAAACATCTTGTTCCTTTTTATTTTGATTGACATAAAATCCATGACTTCATTCACACACGTAACGTGAAGAAATAAAATGCATTTCGCTCATTTTTACAACTTCAGATGTTTTATACTCGTAAAATATTTGTTTACGTCCAAAGTGATTAGATTAAATGGATGATTATAAAAGACTGTGAGACATCAGGTGTGTAAAACTGAGCTCAGCAGACTGAAATCATTCGTGTCTTACACACTCACAAGGATTGTTATATCACACACTCCGCTCTCATGCCAATCCTTACTGGAATCATTCCTTCACAGAATATTTCTCCAACAAAATCTTTTTCTCGTGAAATCCTTTCCCCTGACAGAATCTTTGCCCGACCACACCTGTTTACATTCTCACAAACAGCAGCAGCTTTTGATCATAAATCGTTTGACACAGCTCTGGTGTCAAAAGACATGTCAAGTGTTGCTCACCACCAGTCCCGTGTGAATCAACATGTTTCATGAATGAATCTGCTGTAGTCAGCGTAGATTGTACATGAATCAATTATTTCAATATAATTATGTATTTTTTTTTACATTGTTTCTTGTGCTTGTTGACAGGAAGCTCAGACTCCAGCAGCGTCAAAGATCTGCTGCCGTTCTCCTCGCCTTCGTCTCTTCTTCCGCTCACTGCTCTCTCCTGTTCGGACGCTGCTCTCCACACTCTTGGCCTCCCCTTTTGTAAGAGGATGTCCCTCACCTCCTCCCTCTCCACTGCAGCACTCCCCGGTCGAGGCTTCTCCTCCATGGGAATGGACAGACTGAGAGGCCTCCCCTCGCTGGCTCCACTCACGGACCTCTCGCTCCTCTCGGCGCTGCAGGGGAAGAAGCCTCCTCATTGCAGGGAGCCATGTCATCAAGGCGCTCCCGGGAGTCCACCCTGCTTGATCCCCCTCCACAGCCCCCTCAGCCCTCAGGGGTCTCCTCTCTTCCCTCATCTTTCCGACACCACAAGCCCCTTCTGTCTGTACAGCTACAGATTCCCCCTGAGCCCTCAACTCGCAGTTATTTCCCGACACTCCAGTCTGTCCGAGGACACCACAGACAGTCTACTGCAGCAGTCTGCGTGGCACTCAACTGCCAACCGCTGCCTTTGACAGCCGAACTGCAGTCCAGAACTCACTGAACACAAGACGCCAAAGCTCTGTCGAGAGGTACTTTTCCAGTCGTTGAAGCCTTAAAGAGAAAATGTGACAGAGCGGGACAATTTTGTATTTAATAACAGTTTTATACAATCTGGACGTACTGGCAAAAAGACCTGAAAGATCCAAATATTAAAAAACTGTTGACATTCTTCTTCAAGCTGGATTTTTCTTTTGGACTGAAACTGTGCTTTCTGTAAGAACAAAAAAATATCTGCTTCTGTTATCAAAGAACGTCAGTAACTACACATAAACGAGACAGCCGCTGTTAAAATGGCCGCAAGTGCCCAATAAAATATATTTTTGAGCTGTTGTTCATATCAAATGGGCTGAAAAAGTTATTTTCCCACGCATTTAACACACAACACCCAAAGTGTTTATTTTCCTGTTGCAAGGGGGAATTATCTTGTATGTAGAAATTGCAACTTGCTGAATGTGAACAAAGGCAAGTTTTGTGTTTTATTCAGAGGATTCCGTCTAATAACATCGACTCATCACATCAGTCTGTGGTTCAAGCTAGTTTCCGTTTACTTTGTTAATAATGATTGGACTAATCAGAGGTGCATGCATGGACGGTGACACCGTGGCGGTCTTTATTAGACCAAACTGGAACTAAGACTTCAGATCCCTAAAATAGTCCAAATAATGTGTCGTCATTGTTCCACTGGAATAATTTCACGGCTCCATGACCCAGAGAGGCAAATGAAAGCTTGTCACCACTGCCGGCCAACAGAACATTGTTGTCTGCTCCACAGATGAGGGTTGGGAGGAGGGAGTCCTGAGTTGCCTGTTTAGCTGCTGATGTGCTAATTCCTGCCTTCAGCTGCAGAATCAAAACCCCAGCGCCCATTCCTCGATCCTCTCTCTTGGCAGCTGTGCAGAGGGGGTAGGGCTGGAAGGGATGGGTTAGACTCTGCTGTGACATGTAATTTACTTGTCACTGCAGAGCATGGTGGCAAGCCAACATGGGCCTGGACATGGAAAATAGCAGGAAGACGTTAATTGAGGAACTCGTGCAGGGGACGGCCCCCGTGCTTCAGCCAGGTCAGGTGCGGTGCTATCAGACAGCCGGCCCTTTGTCTGCACGCTGCTCAAGTCTGCCGTTGTTATCCGATACCGTCTGTCATTTCCATGTTTGCCTTCATGGGACAATCATTTTAAACTCCCAACTAATTCCTGATCTTTTAATTAGACAAATTGCTTTCATACCAGGAGAGCTGAACTCTGTGCCTGCACCCTGCGAGCTAGGTAAAGCAGACAAACTTAATGCACAAAGGAGGAAACAATGCCAAACTTTTACCTGCCAGACTTTTCTCAGTTTGCTGATGGAAGGTCCCAGTCATCCGGGACACATTAATCCTTATTGGTCAAAGCCACCATTTTCCAAACATTTTAAATTAATAGTGAAAGACTTGTGAGTCTACACCTACTAAACACATCACAACACAACAAACAGCAAAGAATGATACAGTTTCTTATTTAATAATGATGTCTGCTTTTTTTTAATTTCTCAAATAAGATGACATTTTGTGGCCCACAGCAGCTTCTTTATGTTTGAATTTAGCTTCTGATTCAAGATTTTTCCACTTCAAACTGAGAATTGCAATGTCATTTTGCGATCCGAACTCACGTGCAAATCACTCTCTCCTTCCTCCTGAGGGTGGAAGTCTTTTCTAAATACATTTGATGACAGCGGTGAACAAAACAGAAAACAGTTTGGGAGGTATGCAGCATCTGATTCTTGGCTCTGCTTTAATCTACACACAATAAACAACTCAAACGTGACAGATGAAGGTTTTATCAGCCGTCGGACGCCGGCTGCCCACTTCTGTTCCTTCGTCCTCCTCGTCAGTGAGCTGTATGTAGTGGCTACAACAACATGGAAACTGGGCTCATTCAAGTTTGGAATAACACGAGGACGGACGTTGGTGGACGGCTCAGCGGTGACTGACAGGCAGTGAAATTTGAGCCAGGAGTCATTTGTTTCCAATCATAGCATCCTGAAACAGGAGAGAAGCTCTGCAGCAAGCGGAGACGTGTAAATATACTTTGTCTTCATTAGATTAATATACGACACTCGCAGACTCACTCTGCAAACATGTGTGAGTCCGTTGTGTCCTTGTGTTAGTTAACGCACACACATTTATACACGTGTTTGTCCGCTTCATGCCCTGCAGCGTTCTTCTTCCAAAGGTTTATCCTGAACATTGTTTTCTCTGCAAACTCTATAAAAGACGATTCTTTATCCGGTCAGATGATTGGACGTGACTGAGCTCTGCTGTAAAAGTTGTAAGTGAAACCAGCTGGGGCTGAAATTGAATTAGGCTCAGAGAGTAAAGTGAAAAGAAAGAGCAGTTTACGGTTATGAAGTCCTCTGTTGCTCCATCAACAAGACTTTGTAATGGACTTGATAAAAGGCCTTGTCTCAGCCGTTCTACTTTTTAGGAAAATTCAGCAAAAACATGCAACATAAGGAAGAAAACACTCCAGAGTCTCTTTATTAATTGAAATTACTCATTGTAAGGTCAAAGTGTGTCAGAATAATAGTAATGGCCCTTCCTCCTTCCGTTATGTTGCACCTGAGGAACAGCAGTTTCAGCTTGACAGATGTTTCCATGCCACATCTGGGGTTTCCTCTGATCAGTCCATGTGGGTTTTGAACAAACACCATTCAGAGCACGGGTTAATCCCCTGCTCTGTGTTTAGCTCTGATTTCATGTCGTCTCTTTAAACCTTTTATGATGGAAACCCTGTTGGCGTTTGGGCTAAATGTGTCTTTAAACAGGTCCATGAGCACGAGCACAGTGTCACTCATGTTTTATTTAACCAGTATTTTTTCTGACTGAGTTGTCTTTTTTAAACCTATACGTGTTTTTACACAATTTTACCTTTTAGGATTTTTGAGCACTGTTTTTTTATTTTTTTTAGCACAATCTGTGTTTTCATTTGTAGATTCACATCCTGTTTGTTTCTCCATGTCGCTCCCGTCATCAGTTCAGCACCTGCAGTTCTGTCTGACCCGCCCACTCTCACCTGTTCTTGTTTCATTCAACATAGTCCAGGGGTCTGCAACCTTTACGATCAAAAGAGCCATTTCTGCCCTTTCGTTCACTAAATTAAAAATGTCCAGAGCTGCAAAACCTGCTGCAACTGTCATTATCAACATGTGGTCCATGGGCCACTGTAAGAAGGGGACTTTTCTGGACAGTAGGTGTGAAATTATAAAACTAAAAATATCCATGATTGTTAACATTTATTGATGTTTTACATTTTGAGACAAAAGAAAAGACTGGATTATATCCATCCATCCATCCATCCATCCATCCATCCATCCATCCATCCATCCATCCATCCATCCATCCATCCATCCATCCATCCACCCATCCATCCATTATCTTTACCCGCTTCTTCTTTTTCAGGTCATGGGGGTCACTGGTGCCCATATCAGTCACTAAGCGAGAATCGGGGGACACCCTAGACAGGTCGTACGTCCATCACAGAAGACTGGATTCTTGCAAAGAAAAATACACATTTATATTATTTTTACCAATTAAAAAACTAAAACAATGAACTGTGCAGGCATGTGTGATTGTTTTTAAAACTCTGGAGTAATTGAGTATCCTATTTTGAAAAAAATAAATCATAAAGTTAAAGTGAGTATAGTTATCTATGTACATTAGTACTAGTATCCACATATTTGCAAATGAAAAGACAGGAAAACTGCTAAAACTATTAATTTTTTGTTGTGGGTATGACATCCTATAAAATTCAGTTTTTATGTTAGTTTTGGTCAAAGCTTGAAAGAGCCGCTGCAAAGGGACCAAAGAGCCGCATGTAGCTCCAGAGCCGCAGGTAACAGACCCCTGGCCTAGTCAGTTAAATACCATTCTGTCTCTACACTCAAATCATTCTGGGTCCAAAATCACAGCTACCATGATGACCACAAATGTTCAATACAGAACGTGATGTCCAAAATAAATTAACAGCTGTCTAGGTTTTCTAAATTTTAGTAAATAAAATCTTCATTCCCACAAACATTAGACTTCTTAGATAATGTTTACATCAAAACATATTATGTTTGTCTTTGTTTCTTAACTCTGAGTGTCTCTCATTGCAGTAGGAATTATTCATTTCTGTTAAATCCCTGAAGTTTGTGCACCACAGAACTCTCTTAGATCACTGACTGCATCTTAGAAGCGTTTCTACAAGACTGGAAATGAAGTTTAACAAAGTTCAGTAATGTCCTCTGGTCAGATCTTTCACTGGAAGAGAAGTCCACAAAGGTTCTTTCAGGTCCTCTGGACAGATCCGTCTCTGGAAGTGAAGGGTCTAGTTTACTTGCCATACCTCCAACTGAAAAAAATATGTAGAACCGTTAAAAGTATTGTTGTTTTTTCTTTCTTTCTTTTTATTTTTTTATTGTTAAACCATGATTTAGGTTAACTCTTACAAATTCCAAATCAGAAACTAGGAAGTTCCTGGAGAAACTTAGACAGCGTCTACCAGGTGGCAGCCATTTTAAAATTTAGATGACAAAAATGCCTACGTTTTGATATTTACATTAATATGTACGTGCATCTTAAAAGATGGTGTGGTTGGCAGAATTAGTTCGAGTTCTTTCAGTGTTTTTCAATGAGAAAATTGGCATCTTTATTTTCAAATTACATCACCATGGTAACTCAAATTGACAATAAAAGTAATAGCACAAATCGCTGTGCTGAGCATGTTGGTTTGATATAAAATGTGTGGTGGTGCACGTTGCAGTTCGGACCATATTAAAGTTGATAGAAGACCAAGACACTTTTCAGGAGGATAATAATAAGTGGCTGCTTTTCTAGGCAGTGCCCAAAAACTATGTGCACTATCTGTAAATAACTTGTTGAACCCTGACCTGTTTCTGTTTACATGACTGATCGTGTTTTTGCTTCGGTTGATGTAATTTGATTACTTTAGCTTTTCTTGTTGAGCTGGAGTTGCTGTGATCAATGGA